GCCACCTACTATACTGTAAAGCTTCTAGGACATTCACTATAGAACCGGGTCATTGTTGCCGCCAGGGAGTGAAGAGGAAAAAATTTATTTCGCTTTGCGAATAACCGTGCTATGAAATGCCGCACAACTGGAGAATTTCAAGAACGGATATAACACTTTCCTTAGGTTATTTAAAGCGGCAAATCACCACCAAACCTTAATCTTAGCAGACAAATGTGCCAATGAAAATCGTAAACGTGAATTGTTGGTGAAAATGTTGGACCAAAAAGTTTTGGGCGGGACGAAGTTCGCCGGGTCTGCTAGTACATACATAAATACATATTTGTATGTGTACATAACACAAGTTTTGATAACACCTCTATAGCAAGTAATTTTTAAGCAAAAACCAAAACCGACTTCAATTCTCATATAAAAATTTAAGCGTTCCCTTAATTTCTTCGTGATCAAATGATCGGATCTAAACCAAATTTGTATGGGACCACATTTCTTTTAAAAAAAGAATCATAGAAATAGGTTAACTTTGTTCATAGTTATGCGGTAACATATCTACATATTTAAAAAAATATTCCGACGAATTGATAAGCTCCTCCTTTTTTGAAGTCGGTTAAAAATATATGTATCGATAAACCAATACTATTTGCTCGAATAAGTCCACACCAGTGTTGCCAGTTTGCGGGATTTCGCCCTTTTTTAGGGATTTTATAACTAAAAAGGGCGAATGGGATTTTCTGTCCAAAAACGGGATTTTTTGCACACCATACCGAAAAATAAAATTTAGTAATTGATAATTAAGAAAAGGCTGCCATACTCAGGGCTGCGGAGAGGGGGGGAAGGGGGGGGGGGCAGCCAGGGCAATCGCCCTGGGGCCCGGAAGGTTTTTGGGGGCCCGGAAAGGCAAAGCAGTATTGACAGTACTCGAACTAGGATTTCATAGATACATACATAGGTATTTTGTTGCTACAAAAAATTGTTTTAAAATTGAAGTGTTTAACTTAACCAAATCACCAAACTAAAATTATAAGCATCCAATCAAATACTTACCTTGTTTATACATACATATAAAAAACGGTTCTGACGACACAAATTTGTCAAGTGTTTATACGAACGCACCTAAATCGATAGCAAAGAAATCGTCTTGAACTGACATTTCGCAACAGTGAATGTGAAATGAAGAAACAGCTGATTTTTAAAGCGCTTTGAACAAAATTTGTGTNTGATTGAGTTTATTTTTTAGGGGGGCGCGCAAACGCGAACTGTCCCAGGGGCCCGGCTCGGCTCTCTGCGGGCCTGGCCATACTCCGTCAGCGCACCTTCATTCACATGAAATAAATTTGGATGGCTTCTGAACTTGCTTTAAATGAATATAAAATAATTAACTAAGCACAAGTCTTTAGAAAGCATAGCGGTATACACAGGTGTTTCATTTAAACGATAAGTGGAAAAGTATTTTGAGTGATTCTATTTCGCGGTGTTACACTGATCATAAACTTTTTAATCCACCTAGTACAGGTCGTAGTGCTGATCGACTAATTCACGAAACTGCGTTTAAAATTTTTCTAACATCCTAATATCCTCAACTTATTCTTAAAAACCATTTTCGCATGACTTCCGGCACTAAACCAGCTTAAGCTCGTTTATTATTTAACCAATTTTAAGTTTATATATGAGTTTGGGAAGAAGGATGTTTGTATTATTTAAATAAATAATAAGTTTTGTGAGCGCATTGCAAATATGTGGAAAATTTTTAGAATAAATCTAAAATTTAGACCAACATTTATTATTTTTTTCATTTCTACAACACTTTTTGACAAACTTTTAAAAGAAAATATTCCTAGTAAAACTAGGTACCATTTATAAAAATCAATAGACAATTTCGGAAGTTCTGATTTTTTTCAAAATCACTTCGCTAATATATCACAGAAAATTTGAATCAGTTAAATTAGATTCACTCTGAGATTTAATAGTTCGTCTAGTTGACCTTTAAATGACCGCGATACTGACCTCGTGAGACCAAACTAACCCCGGATTCCGGTTCAGCGGTCCCAAAATCATATGTAGTGACCTTTTGTTACGATTTTTGTTCCTTGTTCCTTTTGTTCATAGGAAAATTTTCTGGAAACTGGTCGGAAAACGCTGACTAAGTACCGAATCGTTATTTTTTATAAGCGCCACACAACCTTCGATTTTAAAAAAAAAACCTAACTTTTCACATCTTAAAAGCAACGATAGACCTCCATCATTTTTGAGCAGAGCCGCATGCGTTTTGACGTGGTCCATATAAATCCTATGTATATTGCATATACAGGGTGTCCCAGAAGTAAGCTGCCAAACTTGAGGAGAAGGTAGGTGGGGGGTGAGCTCCCTGATAAGCAAAAATGTTTCAGGTAAAAGTGTCATCGTTTTTGAAATATTTAAATTTTTTTGAATTAAAAAATTGTGCCTTTTTATGTATTTTCTTTAGGGGAAGGTAGGTGGGGGGGGGGGGGGG